TCCGCTCCGCGCGTTTCCGCTGTAAGCCCCCCACCCCGTACTCCCTTCGTCATCACCGCCCCCTCGCCCGGGTACTGAGGCCGAAACCTGCAGACCAGAGGCCCGACACCCGGTGGCTCCCTCCTCTACCGATATGGGTTACTGTTAGCTGCTTGCTAAAACGACTGCTTCCATTATCGGACAGTCTGCAGAGATTTCCTGTTTGTACCGCACCTGCGCACGCGCTTATTAAGCGTTCACCAACACACCACGAGGCCCTCGCAGGTGGGTCTCAGGTGTGGGGTTGACCTCATACTGACGTTTACGTTGCAGACTGTCACGGGAGCGACAGGTTGCCTGTGGCGCGTCTGTCCGATAATGGAAGCAGAAAACCTGAAGGAAGCGGCCCCGGGCGGGGGGCTCGCCCGATGACAGGGCGGGATGCGGGCGGTAATGAAGCACAACCGGGCACCGGTTCTGCCCGCGGGTACGTGCGCTGTGACGCATCCACAGACAGACCGAGTCATCACGTGAAAGAGGCCCACGTGCTGAGGGAGACTGAGCAGAACCATCACAGGAGGCGGTGTGAGGCGTTTCCTGGACCCTCACACTGCGAGCTGAGGGTGATGCCGCGTTCATCACCCTCAGGCGGTCGCTCTGTTGTTGTTCAGGTTGTGTTTGGCTGCTCTGTGCGTGTCTGTGAAACTGTGTAAATAAAGGTTTTTGGCTCTGCTCACAGCACCACCCTGCAGACGGATGATGGCGACATCCTGATCGACTATTCCAAGAACCTGATCAACCAGGACGTCTTGGCCATGCTGCTGGCGCTGGTGAGAACACACTCACCACACTCACCACACTCACTCAGCTCACCTGTAGCAGCAGGTTCAGCTAAAGGTGAGCGGAGGAGGCGTGCCTTATCTGCTCAGAGCTTCAGCGAAACAGGAAGGTTTCCACACTTTATTTGGAAAGAGAAGCGTTGCGCCACGGCACCGGTGGCGGGCGCCGTGTCGACATGTCCTGGTGGTGAAATGAGCTTCCTGAAGTCACCTGATTGCTGCCCGTGTGTTTCCTGTGTGCAGGCCAAGTCTCGGGGGCTGGAGGAGGCGCGGGAGAGGATGTTTTCTGGAGACAAGATCAACTTTACCGAGGTACTGATCAACACGATGGATCACAAATCTTAAATCTTTAAACACGTTTGTATCACTTAAATCAGGCTGTGTGGTGACGTCATCGATCACAGGAAGCTGTTATAATTTTACCTGAAAGGGGCGGGGCTGGCAGCATCCAATCAGATTGACAAAGAGGAATACATAGAGCGCTATGGAGACAAACACTGTAAACGGCTCCTGTACCAATAAAGTTCAGCCTGTTTGAACGTGCTGATGGATCCTGATCGATCAGTACGGTGATGTCACACCTGCTGATCTCTAACCTGGGAGCAGGGTAGGGTCACAGCATCTGTTGCCATGGTGATATATCCCAGTGTGAGGTGGGCCTCAGACTCGGGGTTGACTCCGACATCAGCGCGCGTGCGTTTGTGTGAGGGCGTCGCCGCTAACCCCGTTGTTGTTACCGCTCACAGGGCCGGGCTGTGCTGCACGTCGCTCTGAGGAACCGCTCCAACACGCCGACCCTCGTCGACAGCAAAGACGTGATGCCCGAGGTCAACAGGGTGCTCGACAAGATGAAGGCGTTCTGCCAGGTGAGTGCGTGTCTGAGCGTGTGTCAAGGCGTGTGA